CCCCAAAACCCCAAAACCCCAAAACCCCAAAACCCCTGGTTCCACCTAAAAAATTGAAAATTTCGAAACCTTCAAAACTAAGCCATCGGTCGACCAAATAAATTTCTATATGGACTAGGTTCAGTAATAAAAGTTATACAAAGGAATCAGTAATTCTACTAGTAGGAGTCATGACCTCCAGTACTTGGCCTCGAGATGCCTACAACTTCTTCAAGTCTGAATTATTCGGCTTAAAAAATTTAGGAATCTCACGTCTGTAGCCCACAGGGAACTCAAGTAGGTCCTCCTCCGGAGATTGAGGGAACAGATGGTCGATCTTCGGTGAATAAACTCCTTCTACTTCAGAAATTTTGAGGATGATATCAGGCTCGGAAATGACAGGTGAATGGCATTTCCTGAGCACGAATCCTGCTGAACGGTTCATGTTGTTTCCAGAGCTATATTATTTAGCTGCCTAATGTAAAAGAACTTACTCTTGATTATACTTCATTCTCCTTTCCTGCTCAGATGCCTTCTGAAGCATCGAGGGCTTTCTTCTGGATTTTGCCCTACGAGCACTATCCTGATTTAAAGACTTTCTTTCTTCATCATTTGATTTTACAAAATTCTGAGCTTTTACTTTGATTTGGTTCTTGAGGTCTAAAGATGAGTGTTACTCAAATTACTGCTTAGCTTAAGACTTTCACTAGAGTAGCCTCTAGAGTTCTTGAGTTTCATTTTACCCTTAAGCCCTTTCTTTGCCTTCTTTGAAGGGTTTTGGCCTTTATTTTTCCGTTTAAAAGCAACTAGCTCTTCTATCCATTTGAATCGCATATTTTGGGATTTCTCCTTATGTTTTTGAGCAGAGATGACGCTCAAGCAGTGCTTAGATTTATTGTGGAAGCATGATTTGTCATCAGTGCCTCTTTTGCTTTCCAATATCCAATGAAACTGATGAAATTCAGGATCCTAGATACATAATGGAATTGACTTACCAAGAGCTTGAACCCTTCCTCTTCAGCAGCCTCTTTCAGATACATTTCCAAGACTTTATAATCAATAGGAGCTCCATTGACTAGTTTAGAGCAGTAATCATAAATCTTGATGAAAGATTTTGGGAGATTTGAGCACAAGTAGTCAATTTGAATGTTGATCTTCCCTTTCAAGACTTGCTCATAGTTGTCCCTTCCATCAAGAGGAAGATCTGACCAAGGAAGATATCCTTTTCATAAATAAATTAGAAGGTAAAACCAGCTCTCAATGTCATCCTTCTTGAAGGTTTTCTCCCAACCTAAGTGAAGGTTGATGCTGGCAAATAGAGGTGTTCCACTCAGAGAGAGATTCTCTCTTTGATAGAGGGACCGGCTTCACTCTTCTGCGACGTATGAAGACTCTTTGTGTGTGAGTCCAAAGTCTATCAAATTGAGTGCATTCTTCTTCCTCCCAGTCCCAAATATCAAGTTAAGAGGCTTGATGTCTCCATGGACATAGCCTATGGAATGGAGGTCCCTGATACGGTGGAGGACTTGCAAAGAAATCATCAGTGCATGTTTCATTCTGATCCCCTTCATTGGCCCATATCTGGTCGTAATCGCTGCCAGGCTATATAAATATATTAACCTCGTTGCCAAGAGGTTTGCTAAAGACAAATACAGTAAACTGAGGGTCTATCCAGAGAGATCTATACCAGTGCCTCCTTCTCAGACTAGCCCGACCAAAAGTTGTAAAAACAACTTCTTTGTAAAAATGCCTTCTAAATTTAGCAATTTGCTCATCTCAGGCTTTCAGAAGATAATCAGCTTTGAAATCCTTCCTTGCAAGTGCGAATTGTTTGTGTGAAGACCAACACTGGTGGTCAGCCCAGTCTTGGCCAAATATAACAAGTGGAGTTCGAAATAAATTTTTATTCCAGCTGAAAATAAAACCTGGTTTAACACTCATAATGATTTAAAACTTTTACCAATCTTCACCAATTTGGCGATGTAAAAACCTGTGTTAGTCAGAAAGAAAATCTGGCCAAAATTCAAAAGAAATATAATGGCTGAGCCTGAAGAGAAGGTTTCAATCGTGATGAAGTAACACTCACCAGTTAGGTATTATTATTACCAAATTTATATTAGAAACTCAGTCAAGCTACGACTTGAGAAGTTATGAAGCATTCATACTACTGATTAAAGTTATGAAAACTCATTTCCAGAAAACTTATCATTCATCGGCGGTTGTCCTAATAATTGAGAAGGCATCCTTCAGAATGTACAATGAAAGCAAACTTCAGGTGTAGAAGATCTTAGTCTCTTTTCAAACTTTGACAGTTTAAGTTAAGAGAATTAAAGATATTGCAATAAAACAAACTGTGATGTCCAATACGAAAATATTTGGGTATTTTTAAACTCACATAACATGAAGGCAAATTCAGATTGAGATTTTGACAACTTAAATCTCCTCAAGAGCTGTGGTACCTCAGAGCTCTGCCAATATTGAAGGTATTCAGAGCTTGACTTATGCTAATAAACAGCTGAATGAAAATTATAGTTCACAAAGTAAACATTTATAAAATTTTAAACTTGGTAATTACCTATCTCCAAGGAGTTCGGTGACGATATAATTCACTTTGCCTAGATGACCATCAAGGAGCTCTAAAAATCCCTCAAATGTCTGCTTCCTCAGCTGTTTCAAGACTTTGATCTCCCTCTTGTGTTGCTCAAGGTCTTCTTTATTACTATTTATCAACTTTTTGACAGCAACTTTCTTCTGTAACTTCGTATCGTAGGCTGAGAAGACGACTCCTTGCACGCCTCTCCCGAGGGCTTTGTCAAAGTAAAACCTATTCTGGATGATCTTCTCCCCTTTGACTTGAAAGTTAGCCTTCTTCGTCTTTAATGGCAGCTCAGATTCCGAGAACTCTAAGTCTACAAAGTCAAGATGAGCTTACGCTTAAGAGCATTCGTCAGACAATCCTTGGACAGTGTTCTGTTCCTTCTGAATTGTATCTTAGAGCCATACAGAGGATAACCTTCGCCTGTAGATTCTGAATCCTCCTATAGAACCACTTAGACAGGAAATTCAGTAATTTCAGAAGTTTCCCAAAAATTATGGAAATTTTAGCAATAAATTATAGCATTGTGAATCTTGAGGATAACTGATTAACAGATAATAGAGTTATAAAGTAGAGAATGGTTGATTATAAATGAACAGCAGTTACTCTCAGCCAAGTTAAAGGAGAAACCATCAGCTCCAACTCACTTGCATGGTTATTTAATATAAACTTCTAATTTAAAAATTTCTTTGCTAAGAATTGTCTAATAGACCATTTCTCGAATATTTAAGCTAGCCTCTCCAATGAATTATAAGCAGATTAGAGTATGAGGCTTTATTCGAAATCACTGATAACTAGTAGGCTTAAGAATAACCACATATTGCAATCTCCTTCACTATTAAGACAGCCAGAGTGTTCAAGAAGTATGATATTGTTGGTGTTTTCAAAGCAAACCCAAACCCAAAGAAAATAAGGTTTATTAAGAAAATATTCAATGAAACTCTATTGCCAGGATTTGGCCAGTATGGCTGACATAGCAAGTAGGACTCATTGGTAATCATTTCAGGCTGAAGAGGTATAATATTGGGCTATAAAACCTCACTATCTATTCTGACCACGTGACACCCACAGTCACAGGAGGAGTTAGTTTTTATACCCTGGCATAAAATTTGCTACCATATTACCAAATAAACAAATTCTAAAGTCCTAAAATACTCAAGTGAGCCAGTATACAGCACCAGAGCTTCATGAGTACTTCGATTCCTTACTAATCTCTTCACTATTCGTAGGTTGCTAACTTCAGGTGCTAGAATCTCTGAAGAAATCGCGTTTAACTCCTAAAAGTAACTTCTAAAACTTTACTGTGGCCACTCTGGCCAAGATGAGATGCTAAAACTGCTCCAAATGAGCACAAATTTATTTATAAATTACATTATTTATTTCATATTTCCTTCCTAGGCTTTAAAAGCAGTAATTTGGTTAAAACTCAGCCCTAAAATCAGGCTCTAAACTAAGGATGTACAGGATGCTCCATCCATGGCTAGGGGGTGAACACAAGGCATCAGAATTGGCCAAGGGAAAGAAGCCTGCTAGTTCTGGTCTCTCAGCTTAAGAATTTGTAAAGAATCAGCCGAAGAAATTTTGGAGCTATTATTAACAAGTAGGCGTTTTAAAAGCAGGAGCATTTCATCATTTGTTCATATCCAATTAATGAAAGAAGGTTTTAGCAGAAACCCAGTACTTTTAGGCCAAATTAGCTATTCCTCTGCCTTAAGAAGGCCTAAGAGAGAGGTGAGATAATAAATCGAAAAGTTTTCTGCTTTTAAACCTGATTTAAAAATGATTAACTAGCTAATATATAGTTACAGAATTATGTCAATAACAGCCCAAACTTTAGTTCGGATTCGTTGGCTTCAGATTGTTGTCTAAAGAGAGCTAGCTAGGTCCTTATAGACCTTGATGATCAAGTTTGTCCAGATTGTTAAGGATAAATACTAAAATCAGCTGGAAATTCCAATCCAGAATCAGAAATTGGTCGTCTTGAGAGGAAAACCTTACCTTATTTTCTTCAAGTTTGTCGTCTTTGGTTTCTTTGACCTGCTGGACATTCATGAGGCATGATTCTATTCTGAAATTAGCACCTGATTTCTCAGGATTCGAAGTGCATAATCCCTTTTTCGTTTTCTTTAGAGACTTATACTCTATGAAAAAGTATTAGGCTTCCTCAGACGAGTCAGAATTGCTAACCAAGAGCCAGAAGGATGAATCTATAGACAAGAAACCCTTCACGAAGATTTCTGGCCAAATAATTCCTGCTCTAGGCTCTACTATTTTATAAATGACAAAAATTTTGACATAAATCGGTGATACAATTCTGATAAAATTTCAAACTTTGGTACTAAAGCCCAGAGGCTTTTGAAACACACATAACAATTTTGTAGTAAGCCCTATTGCTATGGAAAGTATGAAATGAGGAGATAGCAAAAATCTAGTTAAATTTTATGCAAAACCACCCACATCAAAAATTCATAACGCATCTTAAATCTCTTAATATCGCTATTATCTTTCAAAAACAGGTTTTCGGTGTATTGCAATTGGCTATTTCGAGTATTCCAAACCCAACGAAAGGCAGACCTTCATCATGATGAAGACCATGGCAGGGCCCCTTAGAGGGTAGGCTAGAGGTAGGCATAGTACTTTAGTAAATTACCTATCATAAGCTCTTACACCATTATATGCTCTAAGCTATTGCATATGTTTAAACCACAGAGAGATCGGAAGAGATTGGACAGGTTTCAAGAGCTTTTGAAAATTCTGAAACTCCAGAGTGGTCATAGTAGCTCTTCTGTCCTTTAGAACCTCTTATTCCTATTAACAACAAAAGCAGAAATGGTAATGTAGGCCTGGACTTACTTTGCTTCTTCACTTCTGGACTATTATATCGTTTATTCTGGCGCATAACCTCTGGGTGGGCATAAGGCATGACTTGTGAAGAGAGTATACTTCCACTCCTTCGATAAGGTCTTTCCATTTTAGAATTTTAGTTAATTTTTATCAAATTCTATTTTATAACAAAGAAAGGGGTTTTGGGGTTTTGGGGTTTTGGGGTTTTGGGG